GGATCCCAGCGCCTGTGCGGGGCTCAGTGGGTGTCACTAACGCAGGGAGTCTCTTGGCTGCGGCACGTCAGTGATGGCTGAGCCACTGGATGGCCCAGCTAGGGTCCCAGGAGCCGCCAGGCCGGTCCGGACCAGGGGGCATCCAGGCCAATGTCCTGCCTGGAACAGGGTCCAGGCCCAGCTGCCCGGGGAAGATGCACCCCCTAGTGGGCAGTTATGGAACTGTCTGCCATGGGCCGAAGGCTCGAGCACGTTCGGCTCCTGCTCCCGAGTCTCACTAGCCCCTCTTGTACCAGCTCCTCTGCCCTGCAGCCTGGCCCCGTGTATACAATGCTCCCTGCAGAGCTCGTCACACCGGCTCTCTGGGGCCAGGAGAGGGATGGACTCCCACAGGCAGGACCCTCTGCTGAGAACCCCCAGCCCTCGCCTTCAAGGGCACGTATGTGCCATGGTTGGGGGAGGTTGGGGTTGAGAGAGGGGCTGTGACTGGGCGAGAGCCCCGAACAGTGAAGAATGGAGGGATCTGATTGGCTGGAGGCAGATGCAGATGCAGGTTCCCAACAGGCCGTTAACGGTGTGTCTTTGCCTTCGTGTTACACAGCGTCAGAAGAAATCTCCTTGCAGCTGCCTGCGAACATCCTGGCGGGGTCCGAGCGGGCCCACGTGACTGTTCTGGGTAAGGAATTCCCATGCCCCATTCCTGCCAGGGCACGGTGCCCTTCGCCAGCCAGCCAGTCTGTAGCCCAGTGCTCTGATCAGAGAGGCCGGGGCATCACGGATGGAAAAGACCAATGAGGTCTTGTGGGTGTCTGGGGCCAGGGCAGGACTGGTCCCTGCAGTATGTGCTCCAGGGCCTCGTCCCCAGTGAGGGCAATAGACTCCTGCAGTGATGCCATGAAGCTGTGCCAAGGCATTGGCGTCTTGGCCATTCATCACCACGTATCCATGTAACCCCACCAGGCCTGAATTGAACTGGGGGCTCCGGCCCCCGCGTGCCAGGGCTCCACTGACGTGGTGTTAGGGACGGGGCAGCTGTTGTGCAGCCTGGCAATTCTCTGCTTCCCTGACTCCCTTGGTGCCAGGAGACATAATGGGCACAGCTCTGCAGAACATAGACCGCTTGCTGGCCATGCCCTATGGCTGCGGAGAGCAGAACATGGTCCGGTTCTCTCCCAACATCTACATTCAGCAGTACCTGGAGAAGAGCGGGCAGCTGAGCCCAGAGATCAGAGACAAGGCCAAGGGTTTCCTCCAGAGCGGTGAGTGTTCTCCCACCCTGCGCCCCCAGGGCATGGCGGGGCCATGCAAGGGCCCTGTCCATGCCACCTCTGGGGCCGGGCTCCAATCCAGACCCAGATCAGGGCCCTTAGATCTTTGGCCTTTCTTCTCTGGGGCACTAGTTCCGAGGCACAGACTCAGGGTTCAGGGAATGGGAGAGGAGCCCTTTCCCCTCTAGGGGGCGCTGGTTGGGATCCAGCTCCAGGTGGGGAGCTGAAGCGTTTGAGGGGATCAGGGCCCTATTAAGCCTTAACTCCATCCCCCTATTCAAACCAACCCCTGGAATCTCTGAGTCTCAGCATCGTGCGGGAGGGGAGGGCTAGCGGGCCCCACGGGGCGCAGGCTGGGCGTGGATTCTAGCCCCTGGGAGTGAGCGGATCCAGGACTCGCTGTCTCTCTCCCGTCCCCGCAGGCTACCAGCGCGAGCTGCTCTACAAACACAACGACGGCTCTTACAGCGCCTTTGGGGAGAGCGACGCCACGGGCAACACCTGGTGAGGGGCCGCACAGCACGGGCAAGTCAGGGCTCTGGGTGGGCCTAACGGACTGCAGCCTGATCCCCAGCCCCACTGCTACTCCAGTCCTGCTCCCCACACAGCTCTGCCCCACTTACTCACTCCAAACCCCCACCCCGTTCCCGTTCTGGGCTCCCCTGACAGCTCTGCTCACCCCCACAATGCTCATCCCC